CCAAAGAGAATTCCGGAAATGAATAAAAATACAAGAGTCCACAATGGATCACATTTTAACCATTTCTAAAATTCCAAAATGTACATAACGGACTTCTGGAACACATATTTCAACCATTTCAAAAACCAAAAACTGTATATATTTAAAAAGTATATAAAATCTTAGACAAATTTCCCCCAAAATATTTTAGTAGATTTTCTTATCCAAATATGTATGTATTTCCTCACAATGAATTTCTTTTTATTTTAAATTGCCAACTTTCAAGATATAAAAAAAAACTTTTATATCGTTTTTTATTGATTCACCTTTGTACATAACCAGAGAGAATTCCTGAAACGAATAAAAATAAAAGTCCACAATGGATCACATTTTAACCATTTCTAAAGTTCCAAAATGTACATAACGGACTTCTGGAACACCTATTTCAAAATTTTCAAAAACCAAAAACTGTATATAGATATTTAAAGAGATAGAAAATTATAGACAAAAACTTCTCCCAAAATATTTTAGTAGATTTTCTTATCCAAATATGTATGTTTATCCTCACAATTAGTTTTTTTCTATTTTAAATTGCTTTCAAGTGATAATCGCTCTTCAACGGGCTTAAAAGAGCTAGCAATTTAAAATAAAATAACTGATATATAGTTATATGCTGTAAATAGCTCTAAATTTCTGTTCTTATCTGTGATGTTCACTAATATTCATTATAGGGTAATTAAAGCGTTAACTAATTGACAAATACGTTAATAAATTATATTTATAATAACTAAAATATCATATTAATAATTACTGTAAATAAGCTCCCAAACTTGTGTATGCATGCAAATATCCAAGACGGATATCGCGTGCTTTGTAAATGATAATAAATAAATAAATTTAAAATAAAAATAAACTTATTGTGAGGAAATATTTTGTAATTTTAAAAGTTGTTCACAATTTCATCATGAATAAATATATTCTCTACTGTGTACTACAATAAAACAAGAAGTCGACATGTCCACACTCAGTAGATCTACTTGGACACTACCTAGCTCTACAATAAAAATCTACCCAAGAAGCCGGTTCTACCTGGAGATAACCACGACTCCGTGACGTCCTCATTTTTTAGGCCTACCACTTGGTCCGTGTCCTTGAAAGTAGATTGTGTTAATGAGTCAATTAGATAATGACGACATAATTAGTGAGGGAGACAGACTGGTGTCTCCTGCAGGTTCGACGTTCGAATCCTGCCTGATATTTTCTTCTGTACATATGGTCTCTCTTAGTTAACTGAAATATCCGCGTATTGTTGAAATGAACAATTCTAGATGGTTGTATACACCTATCCCCCGATTTACACGGTAGATACGTTCCTTATAAAAACGTGTAAATCGAAAATTATTATTTTTTTTTAATTAGAAATACAGACTCAGTGTGCGTGTGCAGCAAGTCAGCACATAAGCTCGGGATTCCTCGTGAGATGTGTATACAACGCATGTGTTCAATCACAGTAGCATTTAGTATAGTGCGATAAAAACAACAACAAAAAAAAACTTATTTGGAAAACCGTGTAAAAGCGAAAACGTGTAAAACAAGTACCGTGTAAATCGGGGGATAGGTGTACTTGCTTGTCTCTCATCTTTGGAAAATCCCTATTAAGAGATAATCAGGAATGGGCTTTACTCACTGTCTAGCTGAGATTCTGTGGTTACTAAAGGGTTACCTTTCTAAATAATTGCGAAGATGATTCTCTGCTCTAAACAAAAAGATTAAAACAACGCTAACCTCCCTATACACTATAGAATAAGAAACAATTGCCCCAGATTACATCCCCAGCTGCCACACCAGATCAACTTTGGCAACGTGTGGAAGCTGCTTGGTCTGCCGTACCCCAAGCACACATTCAAAGTCTCTTTGAATCAAAACACGCCAAGGCGTGTGGCAGCGGTGATCTCCAACAATGGCAGCTACTCTGGCTACTGATTCTGGCAGGAACCACACTTCGCAGAAGTCTATAAATTTAATCATTTGATACTTGGTCAACATGTTATCTACAAAATATATGTTGTTGTGATAAAGAAGAACAAACATAGGTTGGGGAGAAGAGATTATTTACATAAGAGGATGATGGTACAAGCTTTCGAAGGCAAGATGTCCTTCTACGGGCACAGTGTATTGCCCGAAAACTTGTAAGATCGTTTTCTTATATAAAGAAACTTTTCTCTCTGACTTGTGTGGTTATGCTTCTATAAAAAAATAAATTCCCAACGTAATGAGCATTTCTATAGAAAACTCTATTCTGAAAGATATCAAGTGAGTTCCTATAAATACCTAATACATTCATTTATGAAAAATATTACAAATGTGATATTGTACTGGGATAAGGTGCATAATTATGAAAAAGGGCATCTCCTTATCGTGCAACTGAGGGCCAACAGCCCGAAACGCGTCCGTGGTTAGCTTTTTTTGATTAATCAAGAATGGGTATTTGGCCAATTCTGGAATAATTAAAAATCAACGAGAATAGTTGATATTTATTCCGATGAATGGCGCAAGCCATCAACAACTTTCAGTTGCACGATAAAGAGATGCCCTTTTTCACATTCATTTATGTGAAAAAAAGAAACAAATTGGTCAGATGTTGATATTAAAAACAAAATATCAACACCTAACCAATTTGTTTCTTTTTTCACATAAATGAATGTATTAGGTATTTATATAACTTACTTGATATCTTTCGGAATAGAGTTTTCTATAGATATGCTCATTACGTTGGGAATTTCTTTTTAAATAGCTTTAAAAGCATAAAGCTTTGTGTGTGTGTGTAATATTAAAAACAAAATTGGGGCATTTCCTGACATTCATTTATGACTGAAGTCTTGCGCTCGTGCTTTCTATTCCATTTCAAATTTAAAGAATCCTTGTACAACAAGGGTACTCTGACTATTTCCCCTAAAATTCACTCAGAATATTGGAAGAAAACTTGATGTGTGTTATTCTTGAGTTACGCGGATATGGAATTCAAGATATAAAGGATGTCCCATAGTATTAATGCTGACTTCAGGGCGAATGGCATTCACAGTTTCATAGGCCAACGTAACAGCTCAAAGATTTACACTCATGGACAAATCTTAAGGAACTTTCATATTTTGATGTCGCCATTAGTCTTTTTTTTTTCTTTAAGGAAACAGAGACGTCCACACTTGATCATCTTGTGTCTTCAATAAAGGTCACTTTGTATCACTGTATATTTCAGAGTTATTTTCTGAATCCCGATATACATGCTAAAAGGTACAACTTCCTTAAGCTTTGTCCAAGAGTGTACAAGCTTCTCTCTGGTCATTGGCCTAAGAGAGCTGTGTCTATTTGTGCTACCAGTTCTTCAGTTCATCAGAAAAACTGAGAATAACGTTAAACAATGAAAGGGTAGATAACTAGAAGACACACACAGAGGTTGCTATGCCTCTCCACCAAGTCTGGATATAGCTGATTACCTATTTACTTAGTGATACCTTCTTTCTACCTTCATTTGATTTGTCCTTTTCTTTCTTGGACTTTAGATCGAGAGATTATATCAGATGAAATATGTCAATAAAAATCTTTTGTTAAAGTAGATTTTATTTAAAAGTATTTTTCATGTTATAATTGGATTAGAGACATTGATATCAGAAATTTTTGTTCTTAAATTCCATTTGATTTTGAATTAGGAAGGTTTTCAATCGGAGATGGACTGTAAAAGTAAAAAAAAAAAAAAAACGTAAAAAAGATTGTCGATCGTGTGTGCCAATGGAATTGATCTCAAACATCCCAAACTTAATTGTCCACAGCTCCATTGTATAGCGATTGATTCTCAAATAGTTGATGTAACACCTATTAATGCGGTGTCTCAAGATGTGACGTTAATTAATTCTACAAATTTGCGGTTCTCTAATTGGGTGACCCAATTAAATACTTCTCTCTCTCTCTTCAAAGCCATCAGTGATAGCATTCTGATAGCCTCCATCTTTGTTTGAGGTTTTAAAACAACGTACAGACAGGCACAAAGGAGGATTTCTCTTCATAATAAAATCTTTAGATTTTCTTCAAAATCCGACACCACGCATTCATTGGAACCTCGTTAATTTGGTAGATTTAAACAAACTTAGTTTAATTGTTTGTACATGGATGGCGTGTTAATGACTTGTGTTGAAATAATGACTAAATTGTCTTTTGTTAATTGTTTGCGGAAGAGAATTGCTCGGTGCAGATATTTCTCTATATATTACGATGTACTAGAGCGCCATCTGTTATCAAATTATAAAACTATTTTTGAGGCGTATTATTCTTTTTTAAAATAAAACAATTTCTACTGTCCTTACTGCGATGAAAAAATTAAAGGGAGGGCCTGGCTCATCAGTGGTGAACCCTCCCAGCGGTTTCGCCAGTTTAATCTACCAATTGTAGATTAAACTGGCGAAACCGCTGGGAGGGTTCACCACTGATGAGCCAGGCCCTCCCTTTAATTTTTTCATCGCAGTAAGGACAGTAGAAATTGTTTTATTTTAAAAAAGAATAATACGCCTCAAAAATAGTTTTATAATTTCTCTATATAGTTCTACTGTCCTTTATAAACACACTAGCCGAATGACCCGTGCAACGCCCGTGTTTTACCCGACTGTAGATGTTACAACGGTGATCCTTAGGTCGCTGGTTCAAATCCGGCTCGAGGGAGCCGGCGAGCACGTGACCTCCCTGTGCGCGCGCATCTGTGACAGAGGCCGATGAGGAAAGACGGTCGTGACTATATATAGGGATATTTCCATAGACTTATTAAACACCAAGAATTCCTTCCTAGTATGCAAGGCAGAATAGTTCAATATCACATACAGAGAATCTTAGGGTCGTGGATTCGCGTGCCCCACATTGATCTTTTTTTTTTTCTTCTTTTAAGAGAAAATATGGTTTTACGGGCTACTAACCAAAGTGTATTATTTTCGAGCCTAGAAGAATAATAAAGCAAATATAATATAAATAAAAAATGACGATCCTAATGGGATACGAACCCACAATCTTTGACTCCGGAGGCAAACGCCTTATCCGTTGGGCCACAGGACTACATTTCAGAATGTATGTTTTTCTTAAAGGCGAAATGCTCATTTGGGAAAGTGTTCAACTAAAGGTCCCTTGGCTCGATCCTGGATTTCGCCTCTTTTTTTTTTTTTTTTTGGCGAGTAGAGTTCGCATAAAGCGAATGGTGTACGCGAGAAAAAAAACTTTTTGTTTTTTGATCACAACACAGTATGACAACACCATCTGGGACTTCTACATTAAAAATCTTAATGTATCTAATTAAATCATATAGAAAGCCATCAAACGCCTCTCCTGTACTGAAAAACGAGAAATTAATTTAAAAACAAACAATGAAATGACACTGACCTCACATGAGTCAGCAGAAATTCGGGCAAACAGCTATGAAAATCAATTTAGTCCAAACCCTTGTACCCAATTTTTAAAACCAAATGACTGGCTTGAAGCCGAAATAACGAATTACTTAAAGGAAAATACAGAGAAAGGTCTTGATCCTACTAATATCACTGAACTTGAAACAATTATCGCTTCCTTGACAAATAAAAAAGTTCCAGGAATAGACAAAATACCGAATGAAGCGATATAGCTTCTGCCAAAACATCTGATACAATTCCTCAACGAAGCCCTCAATGCATCACTTGCGTTGACACATTTCCCCTGACCAATGGAAAATATCAATTGTTTGTTCCTTCTTAAAAAAAAAGGTAAAATCAGAGCATGACCCTCCTAGTTACAGACCCATATCCCTTTTACCTGCCGTTTAAAAAAATTATGAAAAAATAATCTCAACCAGATTGAGGAAAACCTTAAACGAAAATAGTTCTGTGTGTAGACATCATCTTTCGATTACCATAATTATATTGTAAATTATAAACTCAAAAGGAGCTTCGGGGGGAGAAGTCCGAACACACCTCCCTGCGGTCCCCCCTGGACCCTTGGAATATTCAACCAAATTCTGGTTCGTTTCCAAGGTGACTAATGTGGCAACGGCATCCATTTTCCAATGAAGAGCAAAACTGATATCTCCAGCAACCTAAGATAGTGGACATTGCTGCTGCTGTGATAGAGATGCATGGAGACATCTGAGGCTCTTCATTGGACACGACAATAGCAGAAAATTGACATGGACCCAGAGCAGCAGCTTTAAACACCCAAGATTGAGGACATTACGACTGCTGTGATAGAGATGCATGGAGACATCTGAGGCTCTTCATTGGACACGACAACAACAAAAGGAGCTTCTTCTATATGACATGTTTATTTTTCTGGAAAATAGCCCTATCAGACCAGAACAGTTTGATTCCAGTCAAAACACTCCACACTTCACCAATTAGTTGTCGTTACGGAGAAGATAAGAAGAGCAATGGCCAATGATCAAATGACTGGAGGTGTCTTCTTTGATATTTCCAAGGTATTTGACAGAGTGTGGCATGAAGCCCTCCTTTACAAGATGACCCAAAAACATCTACCTGGAGATATTATAGGGACAACAATGAAATTCTCAAAAAAAAAAAAAAAAAGAAAGAAAATTCAGAGTAAAAAAATCTCTCTACGACAAGAAAAATTCTAGCAGGAGTTCTCCAAGACTCCATCACTGCGGTCTTACATTATTTAACATATTTATTGATGATGTCATTTGTGCTGAAGGAACTACATCTCTTTGCTGATGACACAGCCATTCTAACCTCTGCTTATAACACAGAAACAATTAACAATAAACTCTACGAGGCCTGTCTATATACAGAGATATGGTGCAAAACTTGGCGAATAGAAATGAACCCTCAAAAGACGGAAGCTAGATTTTTCTCGCATTCAAGAAATAAAAATATTGAGCCGGTCAAAGAAATAAGTTTCATCAATTACACCATGAAGTGGAAGGACAGTGTTCGATATCTAGGAGTAATATTAGACAATTGACAATTTAAACAATTTTATTGATTCTTTTAATCAAATTTTACAAAGGTGGAAAAATATAGTAAAAGGGCATATAAAGTGTAGGGGAATATATATATATAGTTGTGTACAAATGTCTTCAAAAGGAAGACTTCCCCACCCTGAGAGAGTTCTCCTCCAGACAAGGTATCTTGAACATTCCTCAGTTCCACGCCGAGGAAGTACCTATAGATGTGTGTCTTGGCAGACGCCAGGATAGCCAGGGCGTCATCGTCTAGGCCATGCCCAAAGACCCAGCCCTGCAGGTCAGGGGGGATGATGCCTCCCGGATGAGAGGCCTGATGTAGCGGCAGGACCAGTACCGGTGAACCAGCGACAGGTCGCCGGACCCACAGGCGACGCAAGACTGTTGTGCCGATGCTGGATGGGGCAGGGCGAGGAGTAATATTAGATCGTCACCTGTCCTACAAAAACACATTGAGAACAGCATTAACTCCGCAAATGCAGCAAAAATTAGACTATAACTGTTGATAAGCAATAAAAGTAAACTCTCACCAGCCTACAAAAGAACACTCTATCCCTCAGTGGTTAGACCCATTCTTATATATGGATATATACCCAATTTTAATTTCAGCCAATAAAACCATACTAAAAATTGGAAAACTTTGCAAACAAGACTCTAAAGAGAATAATAAAAGCCCCCTTATATGTAAGAAACACAATAATCAAAAATAACCTCCAAATTGAAAACATTAAAGACTACCTCAGGAATTCCGTGTTGAAGGGCATGTTTTGGCCCGAAAGCTTGAGAAATAAAAGATAAAGAAAGGAAACCCTTGATTCCTTATTGATCAAATCAAAATTAATGACCATGTTAGACAATTAGCAATGGAATTCTCTACTAACGTAAACCACCAAACCAAACATTCCAAAATGCCTGAGACTATAATGGAAAAAAAAGGAACTTCAGACCAAGAAAAGTTCTATATAATTTCAACCAAAAACAATTAAAAATGGAAACAAAGAAAGAAATAATATCGAAACATCAATTTATCCAGATAATTCCCTACCACTACTGATAGAAACATACAGTAGATGGTACAGAGACTGGATTTACAAGATACAGATTGTAATTATTAATTAATGTATATATATATGAACAACCACTGTACATAACTCTACATTGTATATTTAAGAACTAGGTTGCTCTTGTTGAGCGGCACCTAATAAACTTTAAACTGAAACTGGAAATATCACACACACAGCCTGCCCTCCTGTCTCCATCTCTACTCCACCAACGCGCCATGTGTAAATATCCAGGACAATGTGATTCGAATGTAACACCTTTAAACTGAGAACAAATAAATAACAATCACACACATATTAGAAGTTTTTATGCAATATCTCCACGGCGGTTTGGTGGATTAAATTTGCGAAACCGCTGGAAGGGTTTACCACTGATGAACCAATCCCTCCCAATATTTTTTCATTGCGGTAAGGATAGTAGAAAGTGTGTTAAAATAACAAATCTCGCTAAAATGGTATTTTTCCTATTCCAAGAAGAATACATTCTACAGGTTTCTGGAGATGTTTCTTTTATCTTTGTTCAACGTAATCTTGAGCTTTCAGGTATCTCTGACCTTATACAGGGGTACATAGAAACATATTTGAATGTAATTCTACTGTCCTATAAGCTTATGTCCATAGTCTTCTTGAAACCATTTCTGAGATCCATCCTTCATTGCTCCGTATATAAGCAGAATCGTCCAATACAGTATTAGAGCTCTGAGAAGCGGTCTGGTGCATTAAATTGGAGAAACCGCTGGGAGGGTTCACCACTGATGAGCCAAACCCTCCCAATATATTTTTTCATCTCAGTAAGGACAGTAGAAGTTTGTATTATGTATAAAAGAAACATTCATGCTTTTAAATACTTTCATTTTATAGAAACCTATAAACGCCGTTAATATCAGCACTTATATGTTTCCATGTACTCATGTAGAAGGGCAGAGATACCCGAAAGTTCGAGATTACATTTAAGAAAGATAAAGAAACACATCTCCAGAAACCTAGCATTTATTTGATTAATATCCAAGAGATTTAAATCGATATAATTTATTTTCTTAATGTCTTCTACTTTGGACATTAGAACAAGCAGTGTGGTACACGAGATGTGCCTCCTCGGGGCACAATGCTGACGTTGCCGTGTGACTGGCCCTGCACGCCCTTCCCCATCCAACACATCCGGCCTCAGCCCGGGAGTCCTGCATCGCCTGTGGGTCCGGAGACCTGTCACTGGCCCACCGCTACTGGTCCTGTAGGCGGTTCAGGCCAGTCATCGTGGAGGCCTTCACAATCATCCAGCGGTCCCCTGACCTGCAGAGCTGGATCTTTGGGCATGACCTGTGGAACGACACCCTGGCCATCCCAGCGTCTTCCATGACCCGTATTGTCGCGAGGAAAAATAATTAACTAGGCCTTCGAATTACTTCAAATATTTATTTAATGAGTTATATGAGAGATTTTAAATATAAAATAAGAGTTGCTATTTACATGAGCCAAATCGACCTAGCCGTTAGAGCAAGAGGGGAGAACTGAGATCTTTCCCAGGAAACTCTGTCCTCCTGACAGTATCTACAAGCACTTCCTGGGCCTGGAGATGCGGAGAGTCCAAGAAGACCTCCTTCTCGTCTGGAGGAGAACTCTATCAAGATGGTAGAGCCTATATAGCTCATAACATATTGTAAATTCTCATTACTTTTCCTTTATTTAAAATATATTATTGACTAGATGTAAATAAAAATGTTCAATTGTCTATGTTCTAGTCCTTGTTGTCATCACCCATTAATTCCAGTTTGATTCTTGATGACCATATGGACAGATATTCTCCAATTTGACTATTACTCACAGCTCATCTAGTGACCTACCGGTAGCTTTCTTGACCCCTTCCAGCCAGCACATTGCTTCCTCTCTTCCTTCTTCCTTTAATTTTTCCCATCATCAACGTCTTTTATAAACCATTTTCTCTCATTATATATCGAAGTAGGTCATTCTTTGTTTTGCATATTTGGGATTGTAGGGATGTAACTGGATTATTTTATTTCAGAATTAAAAATTCTAACTCTACAACTAAC